GGTTGCTGCTGGTGGTTCCCAGTGGATGCCATTCTGGTTCTTTGTGTTCATGCATTTATGTGGTTTTAGTTGAGCTTATGAGTGGGATTTTGCATAAGACCTTAGCCTATATGCACCTGGTGTGTAAGCTATCATGGTTCAGATCAGCTACAGGTACCAATTAAAGGGTGGGTCATGCTGAAAAATTATATATAGGGATTTATACCTATAGAAGTGCATTCCAAACTATTTTTCCATTCCTAACTTGGTTTAAGTTAGATTTACATGGCAAAATATAGTTTGGTTCAATTGTCTGTTGTCCCTTTAGATGAACGACTTGAGGTTTGGGTTTTTGGTTTCCCCCTAAATGTTTTGGAGTCTATGGCGAGACTCAACTTAAGGATTAGCTAGCCCCCCCGAATAGGATTGATTAATTCAGGATACAATTAAATAGTCTCTTGATGAGATAATTTGTATTTCTGGATTCAAATCAATGTAATAGCAGTTCCTGTCCCCTGAAGATCCTCAGAGATAGATTGATGTCGGAGACCTAGTTCACTACAAATGTATCATTACCACTTCAGGAGGCAGAGGAATAGCTAAACATCTGACACACAGAGCAAGTGAAAACAGAGGAACCCGGGAGAGAAGCAGCAGCCATGCTAAGCTAACGCTAGCAAGTGCTAGCAGATCCCAATATACCAATAAAAACCGAGAAGTGTTGAAAGATAAGAGGTGTTTTAAGCACTGTTCAACAGTAGAAAAACAACTGTACTAAGTGTTTGTGAACTAGAAGGAAAAACTGGGCAAAAGACAGATAAATCCGGAAAACAAGAGATGACTCAAGCAAACAATTCACTCGAGCTACCAACAGACAAACAGGAAGTGACACATTATGTCTCACCACAAACGTGCAACTTCAGCGGTGTGCCCTGAACCATAAATATAGTTGTACTTATAGCAAAGCACCACATTCACTGTAGTAAGTGGAGGGATAAGAAGCCCTCCTTCCCGTTTTATGAACAAATTTAATTACTATTCTTCATCATGCAGATTAAAAAACTGGAGAACTGCTAGAATCATCTCACAACAGATGTAAAAGCTTATTGTTTTAAGTTTCTCATATAGTCTTGCTCCTTTGTGTGTGTGTGTGGTTTTTTTTATCTTTCATTATTTTCAACAATTTTCAGTCAGGTCATCTGGACAGTTTCTTTTTTTTTTTTTTTTTTCAGATGACCTGACTGAAAATTGTTGGATATACCCAGAGCCCTATAAAGCGAGAGTTGCGACACTCCCATAGAAAGAATGGAATGCGGAAGTCACGTGGGTCATGAAGCGGCAAATAGTTCCAAACAGCGGCAGTTCCAGCATTGAATCATTCGCCGTGTTTTCTCCGGTAAGTTGATGAAAATACGACACTTTTTTGCCATTGTGAAGCGTTATCTGACTGTTCTGTACCACAATTTATCAACATTAATACTTCATGTTGCCAGTTTTAATGAAACATGTTAAATTGTTAGTTGTGCTTTAACTGCAGCTGCTCGAACGGGTCTATTTCTAATTCAGCGTTTTAAAATATCTATTACTGCTTACATTTTGAAAGGTGGTCTTTTTTAAATTTATGGTAATTCCAGTTACTGAACTCAACTAGAAAATATTTGGCCTTTTTTCCTGAGAGATTCATTCAACCTTTATTTCTACAGGTAAATCCCATTGAGCCTCGAGGACTCATTTACAAGAGAGACCTGATTTAACAAAGAATCATGACAACATGACAACAAGACTGACGTAATTTAGTTAAAGTTATAGATCATTTGTCAAAGACTGCAGCATAAATTGTGACATTATCATTAAAGAAAAACACGATTGTGGAAATGAGTCAATTTTTTTCATGTTTTCCAGGTAAACCACAGGAGAATGACTTGAGTGAACTGAATGTTGCATTCAAAGTATCACAAAGGTACAAGATCTCATTTTCTGTCTTCTATTAAACAATAACAGCTTAATCAAGATGTTTGAATAAAATTACTTTAACACCATAACCTTCACAAAGTTGGTATTTACTGCAGGACTGTTAATTTACATTAGTTTTATATTATTAGTTTAGTGTTTGGTAATCATGGGTCAAGTTGAGATGAGACTCTTTCAAGACAGAACAAGAAATAAGAATTATTACCAAGAATATATCAGCATCAATAAACTGTAGGACAGTAACAGAAAAAACTTATTAAACTATCACAGGTACATTGAGATGGAGCTGGAAGTTATCCTTCATGCCAGTTGTCTTCATCTGATCTTTTGTAAAAATATGTCAGAATTTATTTTCCATTAACATTTTTCTTCACAGGACTGCATTAATTTTCTTGTCTGTGAGTTTCTTCTGTCCTGCTTATGGATTTTTTTGTGTTCTAATTGTTCCTCAGGTTTTTCATCTCTGTTCCCTGACTGCCTGTTGATCCATCCTCCTGGTCCTGTTGATTCATCCTCCTGATTCTGTTGATCCTGGCTCATCAGATCCTGACATGTCCCTGTCCTCTGAGGACACATTTTCATCTTTCCCTCATCTCACTCGCCTCATTTCTGTTTCTTCCTCAGTCTCTGTAATTACAACGTCACTGTTAGAATGAAGATTATTGTTCAATAAAAAATATGACATGTCTTATTTAACACTGTTCGTACCAAAGTTTAATTTAGAACAACATGTGTGATCACTGGTCAGATCACTGGTCAGATCACTGGTCAATGGATCAACATGCAGTGGAAGTTCTGCTGTTCTTCTCATTTGGTTCTGGTCCATGAACAAATGGTTGAACCTCCTTCAGTCTCACACGTCCTCACTGTGTCTCTGTAAACTGTCCTCTCTCTAAATGTGTCTGTAGAATGACATTAGTTAATTTTCTTGCACATTTCTTTGACAGTTAAACATTTTGAGCCCTGATTGAAAATGTTTGTGCAGATTAAATTTACAGCTCTCACTTTGTGTTGTTGTGATGATGATGATGATGATGATGATGATGATGGTGCTCCTGCTGACTTGAGATGATGTAATTAATAAACAGTATAAATGGCAGTAAAAGTACTTTATTAAAGCTTGTTTTACATATTTTATAATAAATTGTTTGGAAATTTATTTTTGCACAAACACTTATTTTGTCATTATTATGATTTTAACTAGAAACAGTTTCATTTAAATTAACATTTTAATCAATGAATTACAATTTTACAATAGTTGTCAGGCTACAATCAACTCAGTTATCAGGTACTTGGTTGCCATAAAAAAACAAACAAAAAAAACAATTATATTCAGTCTCTCTTGTAAATGAGTCCTCGTGGCTCAATGGGACTAACCTGTTTAAATAAAGGTTGTATTAATATCTTCTATAGAAATCAAGAATTCATCCAGATGATCTGAGGTAAGCTGGAGCAGATCTGAACTACATGGAGGACAAGGTGGAGCATTATCCTGCAGAGAAATAGCTTTATAACAGGAGTTACTCTGATCTTTTTTTAACGTGTGTAACGTTATAAAACATTGACATGGCTATATTGATCATTGTATTGCATATACATTTTTTTCTAACAAATATGTGTTTGCAGTCTCGTTTCCTTCTAAAATTTAATGTTAAATGTATCAGCCGCTTCTAAAAATGCTTTGATAAAATGCATAGTCAGGGAAATAATCAGTAATCAGTTAAGTAATCAGTTTGTTACTGCTCAATAATTACTGAAAGACGCCAGGTAAAGTAAGAAAAGTCGATTTTTGTGTTATGTTGTGCCAGCAGCTGCTCAAACTGACTGACAGCGATGAGCTGTTTGGAACTATTGGGAGCTGCATGAACCACGTGACCGCGTATCGGCGAGTTCAAAGAATGTCGCAACTCTCTCTTTATAGGGCTCTGGATATACCTAGATTGTTGAGTATGGACTTTTTTTTGCTTTCATTATTTTGTAAAAACCCAACATTCACGAAAGTTTGTATTTTCATCTTTTTGCACTGTTCTGTTTGTTCTTATCTTGTTAATAAAGTAAAAAAAAAAAAAAAAAAAAAGGCAGCGCAGTGTAGTGAGAAGTACGCAATCGCGTTTTCTACGTAATCTTCATGCGGAGTTTAAGGTACAGCACCTTTCGGCAAGTGTTGACGAAAAAAGTCCAACGTACTTGATGTTTTTATTTGTTTCACGCATTTTGTGACACCGTAGACTATTGTGAAGACGTCTGTGTACTGTCTTTTTTTCTACTTGGTTCCAGAGTTACTTTTGTTTCCCGATTTGAATCCAAAGCGGAGCTGGTTCCGCTCTTGACCGCCTTGCCCTCCGCCAGCTACAAGTGTAGGGAAGTAACCAGTACACCGGCTTACTTTGTGGATGAAATTTAAAGAAAAACTGGGCTCTGTGGACAAGTTCTCATACAAGTTAACTACTCATTAAGGTGAGTAACTTGCGCACCATCGTATATAAAGAGTGATAAATGTGAGCTAATTTGCGTTAGCCACAGAAGCTATCAGCAGAGAAACAGCAGCCACCTGCTGCACTCTGACTCAGCTTTCTGCGACAACAATCAGGGATTATCTTTACAACTAAACTCTTGTTATCTGCGTGAAACTGACAGAACCGAGGTTTGCAAGAAGACCATATCATTGCGGAAAAATGTGTTGTACGGTACTGTTAAGTTGCTTCGTTTGATTCGAGGATAATAAAGTGCTGAACCGCTTTATTAGCTAGAACTTTGACACATTTTTTTCGTTTTTTATCGTTTTGGACTCGAACTTGGTGCGTGTGCGGTTGAATGTTCTCTTGTGACGTTTGGCATGGGAATGTCCCTGTGGAGGATTCAGGTGTGAAGTATAAGGAAGCAGCTTTCCGTCAAACATTCCTCTGACATGCTCCTGTTCCTGTTCAGACAAGCTCAGAGTGGTTTTATCGCTCGTCCCTGGAAAGTGGGAGGACAAAAGGAGCTGCGTTTTATGGTTTGAAATAGGCGGTACTGTAATCAGGTCAGTCATGTTAACCGAGCACAGACGAGGCTTGTTGCATTTCACTGAGCTGAGGAGGAATATTGGAGCTCAACAAGGACAGACCGTGAAAGAAGAGTGTGTGACATTGGCAAGGTGGGGGTGTGTTGAGAGGATTTAAATGGTGGGAAAGGGACATTTTTCTAATCCTTTTTACTATAGCAGTTTCCTTGGCAGATCTGACATAAGCAAAAGGGTTGATTCGTGTCATCTAGACCAGTTTCAAAAGAGGTAATGTTTTGGTTTTACTCTTCAGATTGGTATGAGTAAGTAAATATATTTTAAAGCTGAGTTTAGATTTGCCAAGAAACATGTACTTCTAGTTAAATGATCTTATTTTGTTGTTGGTTTTGCTGTTTTCTCGTGTCATTTCAGCAGTGTAATCCGTTGGGTTTTAAAGAGCCTTTGGTATCATTTTTTTGGTAATAAACATGAATGCATTTTTGGAAAAATAATGTGCCGCTGAGATGAACCAGTGCCAAAGAGTTGCGACACTCTTGAACTAGCTGGTACGCGGTCATGTGGTTCATGCAGCTCTCAATAGTTCCCAACAGTTCATCGCTGTCAGTCAGTTTGAGTGGCTGCTGGCGCAACATAACACAAAAATCGACTTTTCTTACTTTGCCAGGCGACTTTCAGTAATTGTTGAGCAGTAACGAACTGATTACTGATTATTTCCCTGACTATGCATTTTATCAAAGCATTTTTAGACATGGCTGATACATTTATCATTAAATTTTAAAGGGAAACGAGACTGCAAACACATTTTTTTTAGAAAAAATGTTTATGCAATACAATGATCAATATAGCCATGTCAACAGTGTTTTATAATAACGTTACACACGTAAAAAAAAAAAAAACAGAGTAACACCTGTTATAAAGCTATTTCTGATGTTCTCTGCATGATAATGCTCCACCTTGTCCTCCATGCAGCAGTTCAGATCTTCTCCAGCTTACCTCAGATCAGGGATGAATTGGTAATTTCTGTAGAAGATATTCATTCAACCTTTATTTAAACAGATTCGTCCCATTGAGCCATGAGGACTCATTTACAAGAGAGACCTGAATATAATTGTTCTATTTGTCGTTTTTTATTTATTTTTTTATTATGGCAACTGAGTACCTGGATAACTGAGTTGATTGTGCTTGTAGCCTGACAAATACTGTAAAATTATAAATCATTGATTAAAATGTTAATTTAAATCAAACTGTTTCTAGTTAAAATCACAATATATGACAAAATAAGTGTAACTGTGCAAAAACAAATTGCCAAACAATTTATTATAAAATATGTAAAATGTAAAACAAGCTTTAATAAAGTATGTTTACTACTGTTTATACTGTTTATTAATTACATCATCTCAAGTCAGCAGGGGCAACCTCACCGTCACCATCATCACAATAACACAAAACTGAGTGCTGTAAATTTAATCTGTACACAAACATTTTCAATCAGGACTCAAAATGTTTAACTGTTGTAGTATGACATATCCTGAGATATATTCATACATTAAACGGGTTCACTCATCTTTCTGGACTGTGTGATGTTCGTGCGTTGAATTTAACAGAAATGTGGACGTGAGACGTTAATTATCTTTGACTCACCAAGCGAGTGGGTCATTTATTAACAGAATCAAGTTTAACACATCACACATTTACATTAATTTGGCAGAATATGAAAACAACAACATAATTAATCAGCTTTTACAACCAGGAAACCATACGGCCATGGTTTTCCGTTGCTTCACCACAGACATTAATGAAAACATCTGGATTAATTTTCTAGCAGATAGGAGAGTTTAAAGATGGAAAGATGAAGTTTATCTGAGAGAGATGTGTGAGGGAATTTGTCTGTTTTAACCAGAACAGCACGCTCCATTGAAATCAGCTTGGGCCAACGGTACGCTTGGTCGAAATAGAACTTTTACCTTGCAGACGATAGCTTCAGCGTCGGTGTAGAGCTCTTCTTTTGACTCTTTCAGCGTCTCCGTGCAGCTAAAAACCTTGGGAGTCGTGTGAGGTTATCCAAACAGAAGTTATAATTCCCAAAATCGTCTCTGGTTCAGCTTGTTTGGTTTAGCAGCATCCATGAATGCCTGCGGTTGCATTCACGGACTCCCAAACTCTCTGCACTCTGGATTCCACAACTCTTGAACTCTACTGGAACTCTACTGGAACTCTGCTGTTGAACTGGGAAGTTGCCACATTTAAACGGGCTATACTTCCGGTTCATTTGAGAGCTTTTTGATTGGTGGATGGACCAGAACAGAGGTGTGGTTTGTGATGTAAGGTGTTATGGAAAGTCAAGGATTGTTTAAGAACAGACAGAAAGATATCATGGAAAAACCAGACTTCGTGGTGCCACCTCTCCTGTATCTTGCTGTAAAAGTTAAACATGACATTTCTTTTCAGTAAACTTTCTAGTTGACCGAAGCTCGAACTTTAACACACTTACAAATTTGCTCACTTTCAAAGCAGACGATCAAGAAATTGAATCATTACTCTGTAATGTACTCTAACTTGATTTCACTTTGAATTGAGGAATAAAAATCATTACTACTGTTTAAGTAAATAAAATGAGTGGTTCACTTCAACATGTAAACATTGTTTGAACTAACACAATTTGATTATCAAAACATTTGTAAAATAGTAATGATCATAGAGAATTGTCTTTTCCACTTGATTAATTCAAGAGAGAAAGTCTCAGGATGGGTCAAACTGTATTTCTGGATTCAAATCAATGAAATGACAGTTTCTGTCCATCTGGTCAGTTTTGACATCAGGCTTAGTCCACTACACTGTCTAAGAAATGTGCAAGGAAATGAACTAATATCACTCTACAGGCACATTTTGAGGGAGGACAGTTTACAAATTGGAATCTATCAGATGAATATGATTTAAACCAATTTAGAGCTGTTCCTGTTATTCCAATATCATATCCAAGTCTCTGTAATAGAATATTATGATCAACTGTATCAAATGCAGCACTGAGGTCTAACAGGACCAGTGTGGACACCTGTCCATTGTCAGAGGCCATGAGAATATCATTAGTAACTTTCACGAGTGCAGATTCAGTGCTGTGGTGAGCTTTAAAACCTGACAAACTCTTCAAACAGATTATTTCTTTGCAGATGATCACATAACTGACCTGCAGATATTTTCCCTAGAATTTGTTAGATGAAAGTTAGATTTGATATAAGTCTATTGGCTAGGAAATCTATGGGGTACTGTGAAGAGGAAGAAGTGATAGGCCAGACCCAACAATTCAGAAGAGCATTTTTATATTACCGATGGCTCCTTTTGCTAAACCTGAGAATCTGTCTTATGTGAAAATGAGGAAAAGTGGGCGGACTAGGAGTGAGACCGCCCGTTTGACCTTGTTCACGTAGAGAACACTAGCTCAGCTGCTCAAGTTTTCCTGTTTGTACTGTACAAACACAAACAAGTTGGTGCACATTAACTCACCTCACTGCTTGCTTCACTAACTTCACCGGGAGGATATTTGAGAAACTCACCGGACTGCAGACAGGCTCAACTTTATCTGCTGAATTATTTGTGAGTTTAACTTTGTATCAACTTCTTTCTCTTTATAAGCTGATTGGAAATATTGATTAATGAATGAAACACTTTTAATGGGATGAAAATAAACTGAATCACTTGTTTATAATAGCTCATATATTTTGGTTTTATTTCAGTTTGTTTTTAATGGTAAACCACAGTAATGGTGCATTTTAAATGGTGAAATGCTGTACAGTGCAGGCATGAAGAACAGCCTGCAACTGTTGAGCATGTTCTGTGTGTACATAATAAGCTAAGACTCGTCAAACCAGCTTGTCTGAACCTAAGCTCAACAGGTTGAGGCGTTGGCGTACTACTCATAGAACTACTGACAAAAAGGTTTTGAGCAGGCATAGTGTAGCATGTTTGCATTTGAAGTTGTTGGTTTTGTTTTTCTTTATGATGTGAACCATTTCCTGGCAAAAATATTGCTGCTGAATTCCAAAAAAATAAACATTAAGTAAAATGTTGTCTTAAAAACTGCAAATGTTCTTGTGTGTTTACATATTTTACAGCTAATCACTCACTATTGTAATGCTGCAACCACAAGCCTTGAATAGACCAACTCCAGGGAAAATTTGATTCCTGATCAATCACCCTTTCTTGAAGAAAGTTGATGATATGACTTCTTTAAGCTGTATGTCTAAAAAAGTTCAATCTGGTCCTCGGGACATTCAAAAAAAAAAAAAAAACAAAGCAAAAAAATTTACATACGTTTCGTCTTTCATCCAAAAGACTTCCTCAGTTTGAGGCGCTGTATTCAGCTCAGTCTCTTAAATAGCACCTTCTCAAAGTGGATCAACCAGTTTGCTGCTGACAACCAAAACCAGCTGATCACATGATCAAGAAGGACCATCAGCCTAACAATGGATCATTAGCACACTGATGTAGGGCTGGGTACCTTTCTAAAAAAATTGGTACCGGTATCGGTACCTTCACTTCGGTGTCGGTTCCTGGACTGTTCATTTTTCGGTACCAATTTTGTAATTACTATTAATTCTAACAAGAATAAAATTACATTACACATTACAGTACAAATTGTGAGTTTTATTTTTTAACTTTGGTATTTTTCCATTCCAAGCAGTTTTCTTACATAAAAACAAACAAATAATTTCCAGGTCAAAAAAAACAGTTATAAACCAGTGACACGTCAGTGTCTAATGTTCACTGCTACACACTGAGGACCTTTTCACTGAACAGTTTTTCTTCAGAAACAACATGTCTGCTTTCTGTGGACACAAACAAGCCCACTCCTGGCTGATGGTGTCTCCAGCAGTAGAAAATGTTCACTCTGAGGCTGTAGATGATGATTGTTGCACACACAGATACCTGGTTGTCAGTTTGATAGCACTGACATATTGTCCCTCACATCCCACCAGCAGGTCACTGGATTCAATGAGGTAGGGATGATACAGCCTTCTGCACCTCTGTGTCTCTGCCTGAATCTTCTCTGTGATTCTCTGGGGTTTAGGGCTCTGATCATCTCCTTAATTGACATTAGAACAAAACATCAACAATAACATGGTTGTGTTGTTATT